GACTTTGAACAGTTGTTCTAAGTGCTTACTATTGTAATCAGTTGATTAAATAGTGGATTAAGTCCTTGATTGAGAAAGGCAAATCACTCTAGGAAGGGTGGACTGGAGTAGTTGAGTTTAACGAACTAGGATAAAAATACTTGAGTTTTTATTTCTAAGTTTTTATCTTCATACTTATTCAACCCCCCCCCCCCCCCCTTCTAAGTATTTTCTCACCTTCAGGTATGGCATTCATGGCCAACACTTTCACTCTTCCTCGCTTTAACTTCAACCCTTCTCACACCCTTTCTTCTTCTTCATCTTCTTCTCTCCCCAAATTCTTCACCCTCTCTAACCCCATTTCCACCCCTTCACCCATCACCAACGCATCATCCTCAACCACAAAACGCGCATCCGCGCGGAAATGATTGAGCTTTAGCTGAGCACCTCTTTGGCTTTTTCCTTCAATTCATAGAAATGGGTATGGCATTCATGGCCAACACTTTCACTCTTCCTCGCTTTAACTTCAACCCTTCTCACACCCTTTCTTCTTCTTCATCTTCTTCTCTCCCCAAATTCTTCACCCTCTCCAACCCCATTTCCACCCTTTCACCCATCACCAACGCATCATCCTCAACCACAAAACGTGCATCCGCGCGAAAATGTTTGAGCTTTAGCTGAGCACCTCTTTGGCTTTTTCCTTCAATTCATAGAAATGGGTATGGCATTCATGGCCAACACTTTCACTCTTCCTCGCTTTAACTTCAACCCTTCTCACACCCTTTCTTCTTCTTCATCTTCTTCTCTCCTCAAATTCTTCACCCTCTCCAACCCCATTTTCACCCCTTCACCCATCACCAACGCATCATCCTTAACCACAAAACGCGCATCCATTCTCATTCGCGCCACCTCTTCTTCTCCTTCTTCTTCCTCTTCCTCCTTCGGCTCTCGCCTCGAAGAAACCATCAAAAACACCCTTTCCCAAAACCCTGTCGTCGTTTACTCCAAATCCTGGTGCTCCTATTGTTCTGAGGTGAAATGGTTGTTCAAGAAGCTCGGTGTTCAACCGCTGGTCCCTGAATTGGACGAAATGGGTATTTCGACTAAACCCTAACTGTTTATTGCAAATTCATTTGTGTCATATTAATTGATTTTGTACTATTTCACTTTAGGTCCACAAGGTCCACAATTGCAGAAGTTGTTGGAAAGACTCACTGGCCAATACACTGTACCAAATGTGTTTATTGGTAAGCAATCACTGAGTACCACCATAATCACCATAATCTCTTTTGCACTATTCTAAATCATACTCATAGAAGTAGTAACAGACTCAATTTCAATTAACTAGTTATGTCATTTGCACTTAGCTTATATAGTTAGGATAAATGACTTGATCTCGTGGCTTGATATTTATTGAATTCGTCGTCAACGGTAACAAACCGTCCTTAGCCGTAAATATGTCTCGACATCACTGAGCTTCATACGTCTTTGGTGAGCACAGGTACTACTGAAGGTTCTAGTTAAGCTGTAAATTCAACTTATAATGTACTCTAATGGTGTAAGATTGAACCATGCTTGCTCGTTATGAATATCGACCTTTGAAGTTATGTACAGGTATTAAAATTTAAGGAGAAACTGCGGACAAGAAAGTTGAACGTGTACAGGTATTACTCTTCCATGTTTCTGATCTGAATTGTTATACATATTTATAGGGCCAAGTGTGTAATCCTACTTAATATGGTTTGGTAGATCCGCATGTTCTCCTCTGAACATTTATGTTTTGAAAACATGTTTTTCTCTTTTCAGGAATTCTTCTGTATGAAATGTTTTATGGGTATACACCATTCAGGGGAAAGAACTGAAAAAGGACATTTGCGAATATTCTTCACAAGGATCTTAAATTTCCCAAAAGTAAATAGGTGAGACATTCTCCCTTTGTATGTGTTCAAAGTTATAAGTTCTAAACCAGTGAATGCAATCTCGACTTTGTTGCGATTCTTGATATTGCAGGTAAGTCTCAGTGCAAAACAGCTCATTTACTACCTGTTGCAAAGAGATCCAACTAGCAGGTTGGGCTCAAAGGGAGGAGCAAATGATATTCAAAACCATTCCTTCTTCAAGGGTATCAACTGGGCTCTAGTTAGATGCACGGTAAGATAACAAGCTTATCGATATTGCAAAAATCAAACCAGACATTCAACTCGTTGAACCGTGAACCAACATTGTCTGTAGTTCAGTTATTTGAGTTATAACTGAAAAACAGGAAAATATCTGTTTTCATTGCTATTGCTGTTCTTTCCATATATGTTTTCATGCACTCTTTTTTCTGCTTCTGCTACTGATGTTATATTAGTTTAATATAGGTAATAACTAGAAAAGATGAGTGAAGGTGAAGATGAAGTTGAAATGAATCTGAGAAAACTACTAGGTTGTGATGTTGGTTGCCTATGATATTCCTTTTGCTATCATATATATGTGTTTCAGGTCTGTGTACATATCACCAATTATATATAACCAAATATGTCATATTCTCCTTACCCTACCTTATTTTCTTACTCTTCAATGAAACAAATTCCCAGCCTATGATTTGCCTCACACACTTGATGTATTATTATAACATACAACAAAAGTCCTAATTTTTTAAAATCGAAGATATATCTTATCTAGATTATGATATCTATGTGAAAAAGAGCGATTGAATAACCAATTATATGTATGTGATACTTCATTATTTGGTTGCATTATGGCCATCTTTAAGTAGCTATCTCATACTAGAAATTCAATTATTTAAACTAATTTCAGTTCCTTATTTTAAGATGAAGATAATAGTAGCTTGAGCTTATATAGGAATGACTAAGAATGGAAACGGTGGAGGATGCAACTTATACCCTTGGATCATGAGAAGTTAGTTATTGAGTTGATGATGAGGTTGAGCTTAGTTGGATTAGTAATTATGATAGGTAAAGTTAGTTATAGGGGAGTTGTGATGATGTCAGCTGGACTTTGAATTATTCATGACATGCTTAATTTTGCTTAGGAGATTGTTATAGTTTAGTTGTTAGTTCTGTTAATGAAGTCAGTTGGTTAGAAGGATAAAAGTATGCCCTACTGTCATGTACATGTGGCATAACTATTATGTGTTTGTGAATTGTTTGGATTGGAAATGACTGTTATGAATTTTTGCTATGATGTGACTATGTTCTTCATCTATATCAATTTATCAAATTATGTTCTTACTTACCAAGTTGGTTTTCTCTTCTTGTGGTTGGTTGATAAGTTTGGTACTATTATCAGAAATTTGTGGCATCCTCTAATTAATATTCAACCAACAAGTGATAATTCTGTTTATGCGAGCGAGTTAAAGGGTTCACTTCTTACAGTTTCATGTTGTGTTACATGGTCTATATGGTACATTATGCAGGTACTTACCTTAACTACGCATTAGTTTTTGAAAGTTTTATGTAAACATCAATCAGAAATTGTTACAAGTCTAATATCATGCTTGGAATTGGAAACTTCAGGCATCCACTCTAAAAAGATACCCTGCTCAATTATCACTCACTACATGGATGTGTTTTATAGGAGCAGCACAATCAGCTGCTTTCACAGTGATAGCAGAACATAATAACCATACAACATGGATTATAGGGCTCAACATTGACTTATGCTCCACAATATATGGGGTTAAGTATTATAATCATGTCATAAACAAGTACTACAAAATCTTGAATTCTAACTTTATCTATTATTAATGACAGGTAATTGTTGTTAGTGGTTTGTTGATGTATATTCAATTATGGTGTACTGAGAAGAAAGGACCAGTTTTTGTCACAATGTTTAACCCTCTTAGCACCATATTTGTGGCAATTCTGTCATTCTCTGTCTTTGGTGAAAAACTTTATTTGGGCAGGTAACATGCAATGACTCACAGTTCATTTCATAATAAAAAAACTAATGAATTTGAATTCTATCATTGAATAATATTTTAGCATAATTAGTTATAATTCTGAAATTCAACTCTCATAAAATTTTCAGCATCATAGGTTCATTTATTGTCATCATGGGTCTGTACTTGTTGTTGTGGGGGAAAGAAGGTGACAGAGAGGTTGATTTCAAGACCAAAGGTAAATTGCAGTGCAATAGTGAAAATCCAGAATGCAGAATATAGTCAGTAACTTTAGCTGGAGAAGTATACATCTTGAGGATTGTCTGTTTATCCTGGAAATATACATTTTGTGCAAAATCAAGGCTTCACAAACCTCTTTTTCACCAGTTTTACTATTACATGACAAAATTTCATAATGTATACCAATCAAAAAGATCTAGCAATGTAAAATTAAACATGTGCGTGTCCGTATACGTGTTAGTGTCGTGTATGTGTCTATGTTTCATATGTGTTAATGTCGTGTATGTGTTTGTGTTTCATAAATAGTAATTGTGATTTGATCTTTGTCATGATATGTGTCAATGTCGTGTATGTGTATGTGTTTCATAGATATTAATTGTGATTTAACGATATTAATATGACTTTTTTAAATATTCAAATGAATTCATGTTGTTTAGTCACTGTGTTTTACTCATATCAGGAAGATGGATTTGATAACTAATGTAAGCGAGTTTGAAGCAATTGCAAAACAAATATTGCCAAAGATGATTTATGACTACTATGCACCAAGGGCAGAAGATGAATAGACATTGAAAGAGAACCGAAACGCATTCTCAAGGATTTTGTAATCTACTTTGTTTCCTAAAGCCTTTAGATTTAATCTTATGTGTTATTTTAAAGCCCTTATTTCAGTATCTATGTTTACCGAAAACAGGTTCAGGCCGCGAATTCTTAGGGATGTAAGCAAGATAGATTTAACCACAAATGTGTTAGGATTTGATATATCAATGCCTATCATGATTGTGCTTACAGTGGACACTCCAATTCTTGGTCGCAGGGAAGCTGATATTAAAAACAGGTTGAGAAGCATATGTGTATCGAACTTCTTTCTGATCAGATCAAAATTGATTGCAAAATGACAGACATTTTCTTCCTGCAGTGCATTGGCTGTGTTTCACCAAACTATATGGCAGACCAAGGTGACCTTAATGAGAGGATGAAGGCTATACTAGTCGACTGGCTTATTGAGGTACTGCAAATATTCTTACTTTCGAATGATTGATTTCAGTTTCATTTGATATATCCGGCTTAAATATTCATATGCGCTTGTTTGGTTTTGTCAGGTGCATGACAAATTCGACCTCATGCAAGAGACATTGTTTCTTACAATTAATCTCATAGACAGATTCTTGGCAAAGCAAAACATCGTATGAAAGAAACTTCAGCTAGTTGGTCTGGTTGCCATGCTTTTGGCATGCAAATATGAGGAAGTTTCCGTTCCAGTCGTTTCAGATCTAATCCATATCTCTGACAAAGCTTACTCAAGGAAGGAAATTCTCCAAATGGTAACATTTTTTCTTTCAATCTCGTAATAACCTTTTCCGCTTGTTTGATCCTTGCAATTCAATATATCAAATTGTCGAGATTTCTTTCCAAACACCGCAGGAGAAGCTGATGCTCAACACGCTGCAGTATAACATGTCTATACCAACTGCATATGTTTTCATGAGACGGTTTCTCAAGGCTGCTCAAGCTAACAAAAAAGTCAGTACTCGTATTTCTCCCAAACATTTCCATCGGGCTTAATTAACCGTGTTTCATACTCATTTTTTTTGACTCTATTATGGAACAGCTTAAGATGGTAGCTTTTTTCTTGGTAGAGATGTCTCTGGTGGATTATGGGATGCTGAAGTTTCCACCATCCTTGGTGGCTGCTGCTGCAGTCTACACGGCTCAATGCACTGTCAGCGGTTTCAAACACTGGAACAAAACCTGTGAATGGCACACCAACTACTCGGAAGATCAGCTATCGTAAACATCGTCTTTTCAACTCTTTTCAATTATCCTCTATATGCGAATAAATACGCCACTGATATCGTCTATGTTATTTTTGACTTGTAGAGAGTGCGCTAAGATGATGGTTGGGTTACACCAAAAAGCTGGAACTGGAAAGCTTACCGGAGTGCATAGAAAGTACTGCGCGGCAAAATTTAGCTTCACTGCGAAATGCAAACCAGCTTGTTTTCTTCTTGAGAATAACCATCCATAGCATAGCTCTTGACAAAGATACCTTTGGTGTTTTGTGATTTCCGGGTTAAGAGTGGAGCATATAGAGTGCAACTTTGGTTGCTCTCTGATGTTAAGTTACTTCATTTATTTGTTGGTTATTTTGTTTTCTTTGAACATATAATAATGGGATATAGCCACAATTACATATTGTTGTTGTATCATTCTCATTTTCATATTTGATACATTAATAGTTTTAAGTTGTGAAAATGCAACTTCAATTCATCTTTATCATTGCTAACTTTGTGTCTATCATTCTCTAATAAGCCACGGAAGTAAATTATTCTATTTTCATTTATGTATCTTGTTATTATATATATACCAATAATGATTTTGTGTAAAAAAAAGTGTACTGTAAATAGCGTTTTGAAGAGAAAGTGCTATTAATGGTACGTACTATAATAGCACTTTTATGGAAAAGTGTTATCTAATATGTGTCTTATAATAGCGTTTTGTTTGAAAGTGCTATCAAAATCAAAGCAAATTACCGGTACTATAATAGCGCTTTGTTTGAAAGTGCTATCTAATATGTGTCTTGTAATTGCGTTTTTGAAAAAATGCTATTAAATACCGGTACTATAATAGCGCTTTTGGAAAAACGCTATTAATTACCAGTATTATAATAGCACTTTTAAAGCGCTATCAAAAATATTGTTTTACAATAGCGGCTTGATTAATAGCGCTTTTAAGCGCTACCAAAAAGTAAAAAAAACACTATTAAATAGCTTTTTTGTAGTAGTGTTTTTTTATGAAATCACCACAACTCAACAATATCACATTTGAAATAATGCTTTATACCACACCATATCATAACATAACCTTCATTCACGTCAAACAATAAAATGTTACTACTCATGTTCACAAAGGTATGCGATGCGACTATTTATGCATACGACAACGATAACATCATCGTGCACAATAACCCACCACCATGGTTATTGTACACTGCCCAAATTGGCCAACAAACATCAAATTAAATTTCAAACAATATGGACATATATAATGTATTTATTTTACATTCACAACAACATTATTAAACATGTTCATATTACACCAACGACGTCATTAAAGCATCTTCATATTACCATAATTAACATTACAACAATATCATCAAACATCACAACAACATCATCAAAACATCACAACAACAACATCATCGAAACATCTTCATATTACTATCATTAACATCACAACAACAAAATTAAACATCTTTGCAACAACACTCAAGGTTTGTCACTTACACCACGACTTCTTAAGGTACATAACAAGTAACAGTCACATTATTCAAGATATTAGACATAAAATTATTAGGAAAATGATTCATATAATTATACCATGTTAAAGTTTTACTTATTAGCTTTCCAATACTTCGAACAGTCCGTCATTTAGATTAACAGTTAAAAAATTATGATCGAAACTGTTTCTGGCGTTTTTCTACCTCTGAGTCGACTCAGAGATCAACACACAGAGTACTTAGGTCGACTCAAAACCTATGAGTCGGCACATACTGTTAAAATTTCCACAATTTTGCATTCGTGTGGCTATGAGTCGACCCAGGGATTCTAGCGGTCGACTCATACTGTTTCGAACCCCACAAATTACTTTTTTAAAAAGCACTTTCACCCTAGATTTTCACACTAAAGCCTATACCATTAACCCCTATCACCATAGACCCGATTTTATACCAAAATAACATCCTAAACCTCGATTATGCATTGTTTTACTCATGGATTAACAATAATTCATCATAATTTCATTCTTCTGACTCGAAACTCCAAAACTCAACAATGGAGGAATTTTCAACAATTTCCAAAACAGAATTTCTACACACATACATGTACAAAACTCATCACATATCAGTTAGAAAACATCATTTATCACACAATCAAATAACAATTTCGTCATTGATCAAGTATTCATAGTAATCACCACATAGAACAACATTCTACCTATAAGACAAAACCTAACTTCTACCCACCGTTCAACATGTTAACCCTTATAGGATCAGAACTCCACCCTTACCTCGAAATCAAGCTTTCCAAACTTTCACATATCGTGGTTCCTCTTCTTCTCCTCTAGCCCTAGCCTTTCTCACTTTCAGTTCCAAAACACGTTCGGTCAGAAAACGGATTCCAATCTCTCTTCCAATTCCCTTATAACTCCTTCAAATATGATTTGCCTCTTATACCCTTACTACTCCTCTAACTCTCTATTTTGCCCTCAACGTTCTCTCAATTGTCAATTATGCCCTTACTACTCCTCTAACTCTCTATTTTGCCCTCAACATTCTCTCAATTGTCAATTATGACCTTTCTTATCATTTTCACCTTAGTATTCTTATTTTATTATAATTATAATTATTATTTCAATATTACTATTATCAATTATTTTATAACTAAATAATAACAACATTATCTTATTATAATATTACTTTACTCAACATTCTCACTACACCACCCATTTCTACAAAATTATCCACACACCCCTCACCCTCGAGGTCATTAACAATAGCGTCACTATCCCCTACCGCAGGGTACCCCAAACACAACAAAGCATACATAATCACATTTATACAGATAACTTCACATAATTAAATTACGAAAAATAATTTAAAATAAACGGTCGTTATAGCATACCACGTGGAAGTTTTTGTGTGACTCGACATACATATGACAATGCCAACGTGGTAAGATGCTAACGTGACATACCACATAATTAAAGTCAATATTATTCATGAACCTAAAAAAAATCATAGTTAATTAGTAGTTAAAATCAGCTCATATGTAGCAAATACATTATAAGAATTTTGATTCTAAAAAAGTAGACTCTGTTGATAGAGAGAAAACTTCTTAAAACATGGTTGGCAGAGTGAGTGCTTGATTTAAAGCATGATGGGTGGCATACCATTGTCAGTGTTAATATTTATTGTGTGCCAAAGTTAAAAGCTTGATGGGTGGCATACCATTGTATGTTTTCCTTGTAACCCTTTTTCACAAAATCCAAACACTGGTATGCACTAAAAAAACAAAGTAACTATGTGTATCAAGCTCCTCAAATTTTGTGTAGATCCTTGCAACGCAGTCAAATTTTAACTTCTCTAGCTTCATTTCTTTCTTTGATGGCAATAGGCACCAAAAGATTCATCCAAGAAAGCAAGGGAAATATTTGTGTAACAAGAACAAGCCCTCCATTGGTATATGATGCATATTATAAGCAATTTCAGATAGATTTCAAATGTTTTTCTAAAAGTCATACTTCAAGGAACTAGAATCAAGTGGCATGATGATATCAACATTCCTTAAGAAACAACGTGTGAAATTACTTCTTACAAAATCTAGTTATTAATAAATAATGAACTTTGGACTAACTAAAATATTAAAGTATTTCATTAGAATGATGACTACATCAATATGTTAGGTGTTCACCCATTAAATATGAACATTTCTACTTTTGCATGACTTCTGCAGCATAAAGAAGTAGAACGTGAAGATTAAATCGAAATTGCTATAAATTAGCTACGATTTTAGCTATAAATTATGTACGAATTTTTATGAGTTCAAGTATAATGTTGAATTGAGTCACATGGTATGTCACGTCAACATTTTTACCACGTTGACATTGTCACGTGCAAGCTCAATTATCAAAAAAAAGTTCATGTGGCGATGCCACGTCATCTTCTGTTAACGGACGTTGACAGGAGGGACCAAAACCGTGGATAAATTTTTTTAAAGAAATTATTTCTTAAATAAAAAATTTAGAAAGACAAAAAATTTATGTCAGAGATCTCTATAAATAAATCATAATTTAATTTTAGTTTTTTAAAAAAATTTCTTCAATCTTTCTAATATTTTTCATCCATATTATTTATTTCGCTTATCAATGTTCTTTAACTAAAACTTGCATGACACGTCACGCGGAAGATTTATGGTGATTTGGCGTACACGTAATAGTGGTCCTATGACAAACATTGTCATTCTAAATAATTTTTTTTGAGATTTATGTTGGCAGGGATTTTGTGTTTGCTTCTAGTAAGTTTTTTTTTTCACTTTAGAAAGTTTTGTTGTTTTGACCTTTTGATTATTGAGTTCATTACACACAAGAGTATGTTTTGATTCTTAAGTTTTTCCTTTAGTTAGACAGATTGTAA